ATGATGGGGATCCAAATTGCAAATCAAGAGTTCAAATGATCCTTACATGCAGATGCTACAATCTTATATTTAGAAAAACCAAAGACTTTACCAAAAAACTATTAAAACTGATAAACAAATTAAGTATTGGAGGTTATAAAATCAAAATACAAAATCAGCAGCAGCATTTCTATATGCCAACATTGAACAATCTGAAAAAGAAATCAAGAAAGCTGTCCAATTTACAATAGCTACAAATAAATACCTAGGAATTAACAAAAAAAAGTGAAAGACTTATACAATGAAAACTATAAGACATTAATGCAAAAAATTGAAGAACAAACAAAGAAAATGGAAAGATATTTCATGTTCACATATTGGAAGAATCAAAATCATTAAAATGTCCATATTACTCAAAGAAATCTACAGATTTAATGTAATCTCTATCAAAATACCAATGACCTTCCTCACAGAAATAAAATAAACAATCCTAAAATTTATATGGAACCACAAAAGACTTGGAATAGACAAAGCTATTGTAAGAAAAAAAAAATAGTGGAGGAATCACATCACCTGCCTTTAAATAATCCTACAGAGCTATAGTAACCAAAACAACATGGTACTGGCATAAAAATAGACACATAGATCAGTGGAACAGAATAAGAGATAAATCTATACATCTACAATAAACTCTTTTTTGATAAAGGTGCCAAGAATGGACATTGGAGAAGGTACAATCTCTTTAATAAATGGTGCTGGGAAAACATGATATCCATATGCAAAAGAATAAAACTAGATCCCTATCTCTCACCATCTACAGAAATCAAATCAAAATGGATTGAAGACTTAAATCTGAGACCTCAAACTATGAAATTACTACAAGAAAACACTGGGGAAACTCTCCGGGATATCAGACTGGGCAGATTTCTTGATTAAGCACAAGCACAGGCAACCAAACCAAACATGGACAAATGGGATCACATCAAGTTTAAAAGCTTCTGCACAGCAAAAGAAACAATCAAAAAAGTGAAGAGACAACCCACAGTGTGAGAAAATATATGCAAACTACTCATCTAACAATGGATTAATAACCAGTATATGGAACTCAAACAACTCTACAGGAAAAAAAAAATCTAATAATTCAGATTTAAAACTGGGCAAAAGACCTGACTAGATATTTCTCAAAAAATACTTATAAATGGCAATCAGGTATATAAAAAGATGCTCTACATCTTTGATCATTAGAGAAATGCAAGTCAAAACTACAGTAAGATGTAATCTCACCCCAGTTAAAAAGGCTTTTATGCAAAGCCAGGCAATAACAAATACTAGTAAGAATGTGGAGAAAAGGGAACCCTCTTACATTGTTGGCGAGAATGTAAATTAATACAACCACTATGGAGAACAGTTTGGAGGTTCATTACAAAACTAAAAATAGGCCAGGCATGGGGAGGAGGGAGGCTGAGGCAGGTGTATCACTTGAGTCCAGGAGTCTGAGATGAGCCTGGTAAACACGGCGAAACCCCATCTTTACAAAAAAAAATACAAAAATTAATTGAATATGGTGGTGCACAACTGTAGTCCCAGTTACTAGGGAAGATAAAGCAGGAGGATCGCTTGACCTCAGGGGGTGGAGGTTGCAGTAAGCCGAAATGGCACCACTGCACTCCAGACTGAATGACAGAGTGGGACCCTGTCTCAAAAAAAAAAAAAAAAAAGAAGAGAGGAAGGAAGGGAGGGAGGCAGGGAAGGAGGGAGGAAGGGAGGAAAGAAAGAAAAGAAAAGAAAGAAAGAAAAGAAAAGAAAGAAAGAAAGAAAGAAAGAAAGAAAGAAAGAAAGAAAGAAAGAAAGAAAGAAAGAAAGAAAGAAAGAGAGAAAGAGAGAAAGAAGAAAAAGA